ATAAGTTTATTATTTATGTCTTTTGTGTTAATAATTTCTTCTTTAGTAATTTTTTACAGAAAAGAATATATAAGAGGAGATGTTAATATTAATCGTTTTATTATATTAGTTTTAATATTTGTTTTATCTATGATATTATTAATTATTAGACCTAATTTAGTAAGAATTTTATTAGGATGAGATGGATTAGGATTAGTTTCGTATTGTTTAGTTATTTATTTTCAAAATATTAAGTCTTATAATGCTGGTATATTAACAGCTTTATCAAATCGAATTGGGGATGTAGCTTTATTATTAGCTATTGCATGAATATTAAATTATGGAAGATGAAATTATATTTTTTATTTAGAAGTTATGCAAAATGAATTTGAAATAATATTAATTGGATCTTTAGTAATATTAGCTGCTATAACTAAAAGTGCACAAATTCCATTTTCTTCTTGATTGCCAGCTGCTATAGCTGCGCCAACTCCAGTGTCTGCTTTAGTTCATTCGTCTACATTGGTAACTGCAGGAGTGTATTTATTAATTCGGTTTAATATTTTATTGAGAAATTCTTGAATAGGACAATTTTTACTTTTATTGTCAGGTTTAACTATATTTATAGCAGGTTTAGGAGCTAATTTTGAATTTGATTTAAAAAAAATTATTGCTTTATCTACTTTAAGTCAATTAGGGCTAATAATAAGAATTTTATCAATAGGTTTTTATAAATTAGCTATATTTCATTTATTAACTCATGCTTTATTTAAAGCTTTATTATTTATATGTGCAGGAGCAATTATCCATAATATAAATAATTCTCAGGACATTCGTTTAATGGGGGGTTTAAGAATTCACATACCTTTAACTTCAGCTTGTTTTAATGTATCAAATTTAGCTTTATGTGGGATACCTTTTTTAGCTGGGTTTTATTCAAAAGATATAATTTTAGAAATTGTTATAATTAGAAATATTAATATATTTTCTTTCTTTTTATATTTTTTTTCAACTGGATTAACGGTTTGTTACTCATTTCGGTTAGTTTATTATTCTATAACAGGAGATTTAAATTGTAGTAGTTTGAATGTATTAAATGATGAAGGTTGAGTTATATTACGAGGAATAATAGGTTTATTGGTTATAAGAATTATTGGGGGTAGAATATTAAATTGATTAATCTTTCCTGTGCCTTATATAATTTGTTTACCTTTTTTTTTAAAATTATTAACTTTATTTGTTTGTATTTTTGGAGGTTTATTTGGTTATTTAATTTCAGTAAGAAATTTATATACAATTAATAAATCAATAATTTTATACAATTTAACAAATTTTATAGGTTCAATATGATTTATACCTTACATTAGAACTTATGGAGTTATTTTTTATCCTTTAAATTATGGTCAAATTGTTAGTAAAAGTTTTGATCAAGGTTGATCAGAATATTTTGGAGGTCAACATTTATACCAAAAATTATTAAATTATTCTCAAACTTTATTTTTAATTCATAATAATAATTTAAAAATTTATTTAATATTATTTGTATTTTGAATTTTAATTTTAGTAAATTTTTTATTATTTTTATATTTAAATAGCTTATATTTAGAGTACAACACTGAAGATGTTGGGGAGATTATTTAATCTTTAAATATAGTGAATTTATTTTAGTAATTTATAAAAATAATAAAATTTTATTTTTACAATGAAAATGTAAAGTTTTATTTTAAACTATATAAATAGAAGTATAAATGGAATTTAACCATTAAAAGAAAAAAGTTAGCAGCTTTTACTTGATCACCATACTTCCTTAATTGGAGTAAAAGCTCAATTCTATCATTAACAGTGATAAGCCTCTAATTTGGCTTCAATTAAAGAATAAGGGTAAAATTACCTAAAATTAGGTCGAAACTAAATGCAATAAATCGCTTCATATTCAAAAATTGTTATAAGGTAGATTGAAATATCAATACTTTTTAAATGCAAATCAAATGTTATAATTAACTACAACCCTATTATTAATTAAGAAGATCAATTTAATATACCTTGATTTCATTCATGGTATAGTCCAATTAATAAAATAAAAATAAAAATTATTGAAGTTGTTGATCAAATTATTAAATTTGAAAATTTAAAAATAATGATTATAGGGAGAATTAAAGCAATTTCAACATCAAAAATTAAAAAAATAATTGTGATTAAAAAAAATCGCAAAGAAAATGGTAACCGAGAAGATGATTTTGGGTCAAATCCACATTCAAAAGGAGATCTTTTTTCTCGGTCAACTAAGGTTTTTTTAGATAAAATTGAAGCTAAAATTATAACAATAAAAGAAATTATTATAATTACTGTGGCGATAAAAAGAATTGAAAAAATTATCAATACTATTAATAATAGACCTTATGATTGGAAGTCATATATACTTTTATACTATATTGATATAATAAATTTATTAACCTCCTCATCAGTAAATTGTGATATATAAAAATAATCAAACTACATCGACAAAATGTCAATATCATGCTGCTGCTTCAAAGCCAAAATGATGGGCTTTAGAAAAGTGATTATTTAAATGTCGTAATAAACAAATTAATAAGAATGTTGTTCCAATAAGAACATGAATCCCATGAAATCCTGTAGCTATAAAAAATGTTGAACCATAAACTGAATCTGCAATTGTAAATGGAGCTTCAATATATTCATAGGCTTGAAGTATTGTAAAGTAAATTCCTAAAAGAACAGTAAAAAATAGCCCTTGAGTAGTTTGTGAATGGTTTCCTTCCATTAATCTATGATGAGCTCATGTTACGGTAACTCCTGATGTTAATAAAATTGCAGTATTTAAAAGAGGAATTTGAAAAGGGTTAAAAGAAATAATTCCAGCAGGTGGTCATGATGCTCCTAATTCAATTGCTGGGGATAAACTTCTGTGAAAAAATGCTCAAAAAAAACTTACAAAAAATAAAACTTCTGATAAAATAAATAAAATTATACCTCATCGTAAACCAATAGTTACAGGGTAAGTATGTAATCCTTGATAAGTTCCTTCTCGAGATACATCTCGTCATCATTGATAAACAGTTAAGATAGTAATAATATTTCCTAAAAAAAATAATGATGTATCATATTGATGAAATCACTTAATTATTCCTGAAACAGTTGTTATTGCACCAATTGCTCCTGTTAATGGTCATGGTCTGTAATCAACTAAATGAAATGGATGATTTGAATGTGTAGACATTTATTTTATATACTTATATATTTGTATATATATATATATATAAATAAATAAATTAATTAACTTCTCTAGAATAAAGTGTTCTTAAAACAGCAAATACATAAGATTGAATTATAGCTACAGCAGATTCAAGAACTAATAAAGCAATTTGAGCTATTAATAAAAAAGTGACTAATATGTAAGATATAGAGGGTCCTGTGTTTCCTAATAAAGTTAATAATAAATGACCTGCAATTATATTAGCAGTTAATCGAACTGCTAAAGTTCCTGGTCGAATTACATTTCTAATTGTTTCAATACAAACTATAAAAGGTATAAGAATTGCTGGGGTTCCTTGAGGCACGAGGTGGGCAAATATATGTTGAGTGTGGTTAATTCACCCATAAATTATAAAAGATAATCATAGAGGTAAAGCTAATGAAAGAGTTAATGTTAAATGACTTGTTCTTGTAAAAATATAAGGAAACAAACCTATAAAATTATTGAAAAGAATAAGAGAAAATAAAGAAATAAAAATAAATGTTGAACCGTTATGACCTGAGGGTCCTAAAAGAGTTTTAAATTCTTTATGTAAAGTTGATAAAATTGTATTTCAAAAAATATTATAACGAGAAGGTATTAATCAATAAATAGAAGGAATTATTAAAAGACCTAAAAATGTTCTTATTCAATTTATTGATAAACCGAAAATTGCTGATGGGTCGAATACAGAAAATAAATTTGTTATCATTTTCAGTTTATTGAATTTAAATTAATATTTTTTAATTCATTTGATTTAGGGGAAGAAGGTATATAAGCATAATAATTTATTGAGCAAAATAAAATAAAAGTAATAGAAAAAATAAAAAATAAAGTTAATCATTTAATTGGAGCTATTTGTGGGATTAAAAAATATTAATAATTTAATAATTTTAGTTTGACATACTAATGTTATAATTTTAACTAATTTTTTAGTTCATTAGAAGTAAGTGCTAATTTACTATAAAATGGTTTAAGAGACCAGTACTTGCTTTCAGTCATCTAATGAAGAATTTACATTATTAGAAATTCATTTAATAAAATAATTTACAGGAACTCTTTCAATTACAATTGGTATAAAACTATGGTTAGCTCCACAAATTTCTGAACATTGACCATAAAATAATCCTGGACGGTTAATGAAAAAATTAGTTTGGTTTAATCGTCCTGGGGTTCCATCAACTTTTACTCCTAAAGCTGGGATTGTTCATGAATGAATTACATCAGCTGCTGTTACTAAAATTCGAATTTGAGAATTTATTGGTAAAACAATTCGGTTATCTACATCTAGTAAACGAAACCCATCATTTGAAATTTCATTTGTAGGAATTATATATGAATCAAATTCAACATTATTGAAATCTGAATATTCATAACTTCAGTATCATTGATGACCAATTCTTTTTAAAGTTACTGAAGGTTCATTAATTTCGTCTAATAAATATAATAAACGTAAAGATGGGAATGCAATAAATAATAAAATAATAGCAGGTAAAATTGTTCAAATTATTTCAATTAATTGCCCGTGTAATAAAAAACGATTAATGTAATTATTAAAGAATAATATAAATATTAAATATCCAACTAAAACAGTAATCATTACTAAAATCAGTAATGCATGATCATGAAAAAAAATTAATTGTTCTATTAAAGGAGAAGCTCTATCTTGAAGACCTAAATTAGCTCATGTTGACATTTATTTTCTAATAAAAGTAAAAATTCTTTATATATGGAGCTTAAATCCATTGCACTAATCTGCCATATTAGAAATTAATTAGTTAATAAAGGTAATTCAGAATAGCTATGTTCAGCAGGAGGAGTATTTTGGTATCATTCAATTGAAGAATTTAGTTGAATTGGGTAAATAACTTGACGTTGGGACACTAAACTTTCTCAAATAATATAGAAAAAAAATAAAATTCCCAATAAAGAAATTGATGATCCAATAGTTGAAATTACATTTCATGTAGTATAAGCATCTGGATAATCAGAATATCGACGTGGCATTCCCGCTAAACCTAAGAAATGTTGAGGGAAAAATGTTAAATTTACTCCAATAAATATAATAATAAATTGACTTTTTAATCACTTATTATTTATAGTTAATCCTGTAAATAAAGGGTATCAATGTACAAATCCAGCTATAATTGCGAATACTGCCCCTATTGATAATACATAATGAAAATGAGCAACTACATAGTATGTGTCATGTAAAATAATGTCAACAGATGAATTTGCTAAAACAACTCCGGTTAATCCTCCAACTGTGAATAAAAATACAAATCCTAAAGCTCATAAAATGGCTGGTGAATAGGAAAGTTGTGTTCCGTGAAGTGTAGCAAGTCAACTAAAAATTTTAATACCTGTAGGCACAGCAATAATTATAGTTGCTGATGTAAAATAAGCTCGTGTATCTACGTCTATCCCAACTGTGAATATATGGTGGGCTCATACAATAAATCCTAATAATCCAATAGCTAATATTGCATAAATTATCCCTAAAGATCCAAAAGTTTCCTTTTTACCTGATTCTTGACTAATAATATGAGAAATTATTCCAAATCCTGGTAAAATTAAAATATAAACTTCTGGATGACCAAAAAATCAAAATAAATGTTGGTATAAAATTGGATCCCCTCCACCAGCTGGGTCAAAGAATGAAGTATTAAGATTTCGGTCTGTTAATAATATTGTAATAGCTCCTGCTAAAACAGGAAGAGATAAAAGAAGTAAAAGAGCTGTAATTACAACGGATCAAACAAATAAAGGTATACGGTCTAAAGTAATTCCTGAAGATCGTATATTAATTACTGTTGTAATAAAATTTACAGCTCCTAAAATTGAAGAAATTCCTGCTAAATGTAAAGAGAAAATAGCTAAATCTACAGAAGCTCCTCCATGAGCAATTCCTGCTGATAATGGAGGGTAAACTGTTCACCCTGTTCCAGCTCCGTTTTCAACTATTCTTCTAACTAATAATAATGATAAAGCGGGGGGTAAAAGTCAAAATCTTATATTATTTATTCGTGGGAAAGCTATATCAGGAGCTCCTAATATTAAAGGTACAAGTCAATTTCCAAATCCTCCAATTATAATTGGTATAACTATAAAAAAAATCATAATAAAAGCATGAGCTGTAACAATTACATTATAAATTTGGTCATCACCAATTAAAGCTCCTGGATGTCCTAATTCAGCTCGAATTAAAATTCTTAAAGATGTTCCAACTATTCCTGCTCAAGCACCGAAAATAAAATATAATGTTCCAATATCTTTATGATTTGTTGAAAATAATCATTGTCGCGATTAAGTGGCTGAAGTTAGGCGATAGATTGTAAATCTATTTATAAGAAATTTTCTTCTTAATCAATTGATTAGTAAAATTATAAATCGGTCTTATAGTCAATAATGACATCAAACTGCAATTTTGAAGGAGTAATAAATTACTAAGGCTTAAAGGATTTCCTATATTTACAGCTTTGAAGGCTATGAGTTTCATTTAACTTAAAGCCTTTAACCTAAAATATAGAATAAAATATTGAAATTATAAATAATCCAAAAATTGACAAAAATGTACAAATCAAGTATAGTTTTATACTAAAATTATTGATTTGGGTGCTAATAACTCAGTTATTTTCGTAATAATTTAGCATAAATGCTGAATAACAAATTCGTAAATAAAAAAATAATGTGATTAAAGTTGATATTAATAAAATTATTAATTGAAAATATTGGTTACAAAAAGTTAATTGTTGAATTACAATTCATTTTGGTAAAAATCCTAAAAATGGAGGTAATCCACCTAAAGATAAAAAATTTATAAATAAAGTAAATTTTATAACTTTTCTTTGTATAAATCATGAAAATAATTGGTTTAAATGAAATAATTTGAAAATATTAAATATAAAAGTTAAAATAAATGATAAAAAAGAATAAAATAAAAAATAAATTATTCAAACTGATTCATTAATTATTAACGCTCTTAGTATTCAACCTAAATGATTAATAGAAGAAAAAGCTATAAGTTTTCGTAAAGAAGTTTGGTTTAAACCTCCAATTGCTCCAATAATTACTGAAAGAATTACTCTAATAAGTAATAAATTTTTTAAATTTAAATAAGAAATTAATATTAAAGGAGCAATTTTTTGCCATGTTATTAAAAGAAGAGCATTTATTCAAGTTAATCCTTCTATTAAATTGGGGAATCAAAAATGAAAAGGGGCGGCTCCTCTTTTTAACAATAAAGTTGATAAAATAATTATTGAAGTAAATGAGTTATTAATTTCAATTGTTATTCTATTATTTAACATTAATAAAATCACTGAAAACAGTAAAACAGTTGAAGCTAAAGCTTGGGTTAAAAAATATTTTAAAGAAGCTTCTGTTGATTTAAAATTATTATTATCTCTTATTAGGGGAATAAAAGATAACAAATTAATTTCTAAACCTATTCATGCTCCTAACCAAGAATTAGAGGTTACTGTAATTAATGTTCCAATAATTATTATTGTAATAAATAAAATTTTTGAAGAATTATTAAAAATTAAAAAGAAAAGGATTAAAACCTTTATAAATGGGGTATGAACCCAGTAGCTTAGTTAGCTTATCTTTTTATATTTTGGTGTACGATGCACAAAAGTTTTTGATACTTTTAGTAATAGTTTAATTCTATTAAATATAAAATCCTTCAAAAAATAACAATAAAATCAATCAATGAATGTAGAATCCTACATAATTTACCCTATCAAGATAACCCTTTTATCAGGCAATTCATTTACAATAAAATCCCGTCTATTTTTTTTTTTTTTTTTTTTTGTACTTTACTAATATATTTTGAAAAATTCTTTAATTTTTAATATTATAATTATTTAAATTAAATAATACATTTTAGTAGTAAATTTATTTAAATATAGTTTTAATTATAGATATTTAAAATTTTCTATATAGATATATATATTATAGTAAATCATCAACAATATATAAATATATAAATATATAATAATTTATAAAATTTATATTAATTTATATAAATCAAAAGAATCATTAGATAAATCTTTAAAATATAGATTTTTTTTTACCATATTTGTAATGATTTTTGGATTGCGAAATTTTTTATTTAAATTGTTAATTATATAATAATATATTAAATATTTATATATATATAGATTATCTATTAATCTAGACTTAGTATACAAAAATGTTTTTTTAAAATTTATTAATTTAAAAATAGATACATTTTCTTTATATCTATTTTTTCTTAATTTGCAAAAAAAAAAAAAAAAATTAGAATGATTTTTTAATAGCCTTAAAATTGACTTTAATTTAATAGGGTTATTGGTATTAATTTTTTAATTAAATTTAATTATTTAGTAAATTTATAATTACATATTAATGATTTATTTAATGAGTTTACTTAAATTAATTTTATTTAATTTATTTATTTTTAAAATTTGTAAGTTTATTAAATTTTGTAATTTTTATAAGTTATTAAAATTAAAAAATCATTCTATTTTTATTTTACTAAAATGTAGTATTATTATATAATACTAATTATTTTAAAATTATGTAAAAGTTTAAAAATTTATGTATTAATATGAAAAAATTAAATAATATTTAATTTTCATTTTTATTTTTAAATGGAAATTATATTAATAGGGGTTTATTTTTGATTATTTTGGATTCTAGTGATTAAATAAAATTATTATAAATTTATTAAATTATAAAAAAAATAAAATTTTAAATAAATTATTATAAAGAGATTTATAAATAGTTTATTTTATATTAAATCATCTAATTAAATTTATAAAGTTTTATTTTGGCTTAAAAGTTTGTTATTAATTTGATTTATATGTAAATTTTTGTGTGAATATTTAATAATTTAAAAAATTATTAAATTTATTATAATCGCAGTAATTAATTTTATTAGTTAAAGAAATTTAGAAATAGCAATATTAAAGAGTATAGATTAAATTGGTGCCAGCAATCGCGGTTACACCAATTATACAAATGAATTTTTTTAGTAAAAGTTAAATTGGTTTAATTTAAATATAATTAAATTTATTAAGTGAAATTTTAAATTTAAAATTTTTATTAAGTGAATAATTGAAACTTGAAAATTTTAAATAAAAACTAGGATTAGATACCCTATTATTTAAAATGTAAATATAAATACTTAAGTAGTAATAGTTAAGTTCTTGAAACTTAAAAAATTTGGCGGTATTTTAGTCTATCCAGAGGAACCTGTTTTGTAATCGATAATCCACGATGGACCTTACTTAAGTTTGTAATCAGTTTATATACCGTCGTTATCAGAATATTTTATAAGAATATTAATATTCAATAATTTTTATTAAAATTTATATCAGATCAAGGTGTAGCTTATATTTAAGTAATAATGGGTTACAATAAATTTATTTAAACGGATAAAATTATGAAAAAATTTTGAAGGTGGATTTGGTAGTAAAATTATAAAGATTAATAATTTGATTTTAGCTCTAAAATATGTACACATCGCCCGTCGCTCTTATTATTAAGGTAAGATAAGTCGTAACATAGTAGATGTACTGGAAAGTGTATCTAGAATGACAATTTAAAGCTTATTAAGTAAAGCATTTCATTTACATTGAAAAGATTTTTGTGCAAATCAATATAAATTGATTAGATTTTATTTATTAATTTTATTTATTTTATTTTAGAATATTAAAAATAATTATATAAGAAAAAGTTTTAGTATTGTTTAAAGAAAAAATAATTTTAATAATAGTTTAATAGTATTGTAAAAGAAAATTGAAATATTTTGAAAAATTTTTATTTTAAAAGAAAATTTAATTTATTGTACCTTGTGTATCAGCGTTTATTAAATAAAAAATATTTAAATATATTTTTCTCGATTTTAAAAGAGTTAATATAATATTAAAGTTAATGTAATAAAATTATTTTAAATATTATATTAGAAATGAAATGTTATTCGTTTTTAAAGGTATCTAGTTTTTCAAGAAATAAATTTAATTTAGAAATTATAAATTTATTTAAAAAATTTTTTAATTAAATAATTTATAATTTTAATATTTTATGGGATAAGCTATAAAATAAATTTTTAAAAATAATAAATAAATTTAAAATATATATGCTTAGAATTAGCAATTATTAAAAATTGTGTTATAATTTATTTTATAAATTAAATTATTTATTATATTTTAAATTTTTATTGAAATATTAATTTTAATTTTTTAAATTAAGAAATAATGATAGAATTAGTATATTTTATTGTAAAATAAATTTAAATGATAAGTTTAAGTAAAGAATTCGGCAAAAATAATATTCGCCTGTTTAACAAAAACATGTCTTTTTGAATTAAATTTAAAGTCTAACCTGCCCACTGAAAATTTTTAAATGGCCGCAGTATTTTAACTGTGCAAAGGTAGCATAATCATTAGTCTTTTAATTGAAGGCTGGAATGAATGGTTGGACGAAATATTAACTGTTTCATTTAAATTTTTTATAGAATTTTATTTTTTAGTCAAAAAGCTAAAATTTATTTAAAAGACGAGAAGACCCTATAAATCTTTATATTTTATTTATTTTAATTATAAAGATTATTTTTATTATTATAAATTAAAATATTTTATTGGGGTGATATTAAAATTTAAAAAACTTTTAATGATTAAAATCATTAATGTATGAATATTTGATCCATTAATAATGATTAAAAATTTAAGTTACTTTAGGGATAACAGCGTAATTTTTTTGGAGAGTTCATATCGATAAAAAAGATTGCGACCTCGATGTTGGATTAAGATATAATTTTGGGTGTAGCCGTTCAAATTTTAAGTCTGTTCGACTTTTAAATTCTTACATGATCTGAGTTCAAACCGGCGTAAGCCAGGTTGGTTTCTATCTTTAAAAATATATAATATTTTAGTACGAAAGGACCAAATATTAAAATAATTTTATTTTTATTTAGAATAATATTAATTAATATAACTATTTTGGCAGATTAGTGCAATAAATTTAGAATTTATTTATGTAATATTTATTACAAATAGTACTTGTTTTATATAGAATTGATTATATCTTTAGTAGGGAGTTTATTATTAATTATTTGTGTATTAGTTAGAGTAGCTTTTTTAACTTTATTGGAACGAAAAGTTTTAGGTTATATCCAAATTCGTAAGGGTCCTAATAAAGTTGGTTTAATAGGAATTCCTCAACCTTTTTGTGATGCAATTAAATTATTTACAAAAGAACAAACTTATCCATTATTATCTAATTATTTAAGATATTATATTTCGCCTATTTTGTCTTTATTTTTATCTTTAGTGGTTTGAATATGTATACCATTTTTTGTAAAATTATACTCTTTTAATTTGGGAGGGTTATTTTTTTTATGTTGTACTAGATTAGGAGTTTATACAGTTATAGTAGCTGGGTGATCTTCTAATTCAAATTATGCTTTATTAGGGGGTTTACGGGCTGTTGCTCAAACTATTTCTTATGAAGTTAGTTTAGCTTTAATTTTATTATCTTTTGTATTTTTAATTGGGGGGTATAATTTTTTATATTTTTATTATTATCAAACTTATATTTGATTTTTATTTATTTTATTTCCTATAGCTTTGGTTTGGTTAACAATTTCTTTAGCTGAAACTAATCGAACACCTTTTGACTTTGCTGAAGGGGAATCTGAATTAGTATCAGGGTTTAATGTTGAGTATAGAAGAGGAGGATTTGCATTAATTTTTTTAGCTGAGTATGCAAGAATTTTATTTATAAGTATATTATTTTGTGTAATTTTTTTAGGATGCGATGTGTTTAATTTATTATTTTATTTAAAATTAATATTAATTTCATTTATTTTTATTTGGGTTCGAGGTACTTTACCTCGGTTTCGTTATGATAAATTAATATATTTGGCATGAAAGTGTTTTTTATCTTTTTCATTAAATTATTTAATATTTTTTATTGGTTTAAAAATTTTATTGTTTTCTTTATTATTGTGAATTAAAATTAGTAATTTATTAAGTTAATAGAAAGTAAGATTTCTATCTTATGTTTTCAAAACATATGCTTATTCAAGCTCATTAACTAATTTAAAAGATTATCTCATCATTTATTTACTAAAGGGTTAATAATATAGTATAAAAAATAAACAACGGTTAAAATTTGTCCAATTAAAACATAAGGTTCTTCTACAGGGCGGGCTCCAATTCAAGTTAATAAAATTACTGTTACTACTATAATTCAAAATAAAATCTGATTAATTGGGTAAAATTGAATACCTCGGAATTTTCTTAGGTTATAAAATGGAAGAATTATTAAAATTGCAATTGAAAGAACTAAAGCAATTACTCCTCCTAATTTATTGGGAATAGATCGAAGAATTGCGTAAGCGAATAGAAAATATCATTCTGGTTGAATGTGAGCTGGTGTTACTAATGGGTTAGCTGGGATAAAATTATCTGGATCTCCCAATAAATTAGGATTAATTAAAATTAAAGAAATTAGTAAAAAAATTATAATAATAAATCCGACAATGTCTTTGTAGGTAAAATATGGATGAAATGGGATTTTATCTCTATTTGAATTTAATCCAATTGGG